TAACCCCATACAGTGTCCAACCGTTATTACCAGTGAACGAGAAGGTTAATATCATACAGTGTCCAACCGTTATTACCAGTGAACGATAAGATGAATATCATAGTGTCCAACTGTTATTACCATTGAACGAGAAGGTTAATATCATACAGTGTCCAACCGTTATTACCAGTGAACGATAAGATGAATATCATACAGTGTCCAACCGTTATTACCATTGAATGATAAGATGAATATCATAGTGTCCAACCGTTATTACCAGTGAACGATAAGATGAATATCATACAGTGTCCAACCGTTATTCCAGTGAACGATAAGATGAATATCATACAGTGTCCAACCGTTATTACCTATGATATTCATCTTATCGTTCACTCGAAAGTATAGTTACACATCGGTTTTTTTATAATTTAATTTGTGTGATTAACAAAATTTCTTTATGGCGTGGCTTAGGAAAATGAAAGTCTAGTTACAACTCGGTTTTTTTACTTTAATTTGTGTGAATGACAACATTTCTTTGAAAGTTAATTGTTAGCTTTATAAAATCTTCTTTGTTAGACGAAATAATAATCCAATTTTCAAGTTTCATGATGGTGCTAAGCGTGTTTTTCAACAGTTCTGAACAATATTCTTAGTACACATTTTGTAAGTTCGGTATAAAGTTAATTGACTGGTGTTATGCAAGATTCATCTTGATTTCCTGGACATAACGAACAGTTAAATGGTTTTCAATCATGTAGAAGTTGGATATATGATGGTTGAAATATTCTTGAGCTTAATTTAGTAAACAATTTTAGAATGCAAATAATGTTTACTAATAGTAAACACATAGATTGATACTAGTTAAATACATTTTCTTATTGAAATTGCTTTCTCAAGTTATCGCTAATTTAATATAGTATATATTTCTTTTAAGATGTAGCTTATGCCTCCTATTTTTTATTATCAAAACTGAGGGACCGTCATAACAGTATCCTCTCAAAACTTTTGAGACCATATTTTTTCATATCAATAACATTTCTTTTAAATTTTAGATTTTTTCAATTCACGTAATTTTCCATTAGGCATCATAGAAAATAGAATAATGTTACAGTCTATATAAACCTTATGTAAGTAATAGTACTTTTTTTAGTTGCAAAGGTAAAAATTGTAGGAATCAGCTGATTAATTAAACAGATTTTTTTCCTATTTTTACATGTATCAATAAACAATTCAACAGAAGTCAGGATACCAAGATAATTTTATCCTGAAGTGTAAAGCCTGCAAAGTGCACCAGAATTAAAATCACGTTTTTCCCCTGTATCATACCGATAAAGTTTTCCCAAACACATTAGTGGTTTTATATAAATCCTTGAGAACATGGTTGATCCTTTCTTTTACTTTCTGTAGATACTAAAGTTACTGTTACATTGTTTTATATTCTCAAAAACTGGATTTGGTGTAAAAGATTAGTCACGTTTATGTTTCTTAATTTTCTTACCAACTTAGCAGTTCTTCAAACTTTTATACTCTAATAATGAAATTAAAGTCAAATCTTTAATAGGTCAGCTTGAATATAGAGTGGTGTGCAAATTTTTAGATCCATTGCTCCTGTGGTTTCGATTTGTTATGCCTATGAGATAGAACCACTGTAGTTTAAAATGTTAGTTTTACATTTTATCTATGTCTTGAGTATCCTATACATTTAATTAATTTAAAATCTAAGGAGAAAAATAACGCATAGCTGCAAATGATTAAGTGCAGTATATTTTTTTAAAAACTATTCAATACATCTAGTCGAAATACAAAACGGTGCAACATTATTACACATGGTTGTCTTTAGTTTCTGTGTCAGTCATCACTGGCAAAAACTTGTGAAACTTTTATATTTATGAAGGTGTATGGATGTTTATAAAGGATGATTTGTTTTTCAAAAACATTGTCCAGTGCAGCTAATATATAGGGTTGAGTACAATACATAAAAAATATTTTGAATATGCAAATCAACAGATCACATGACAATCACAGCCTATATAAAATCGCGGTGGAACGGAATGTATCAGAACTACATTTTGACGTTGTTTTGCGTGTCGTAGGTAGTGTGATGTCACCGACAGTATATCATAAAGATGTGTTTCAGATCGGTGATTTAGAATTTCCAAAGCGGGGATATACCACGTCCTTAATGGCTTTGGAAATAAATGAATCAACTTGGGGTACCAGTACCATTCAAAATGATAACTGCAACAAGTCGTACCCCAGCCAAGAGAAACAAATTTCGGTATCTTGTAACAGGTGAGAATCCACGAACACAAAGATAGGTTAGTGGCAAAAGCCTTCGCATCATAGGAAACAGTATGTAAAATAACCAATAAGGATCTTCGTCTGGAAAAATGACACAAGTCACGTGCACATAAGTTGCTTCTAAAACATATCCGTTTAACCTTCGCACATACTGGTCAATTCACCAGACGCAGTGCCTATGGATTTCTGTGTGATCGGACTGTTGAAATGAGTGCTGGGAAATCGTCTATTATGGGAATGTTCAGGGTAGAATGGTGTGCTTTGGACGTGATACTTTTACGACGGAGCCTTTTGCAAGGCTATTGTCGAAATGTACGGTAGTCAAATAGAACACAATCAAACGTAGCGCATGTTTCTTTAACAACATGGTGAGGGTTCAAAAACGTTTTGATATAACGTATTCAACCACATTAGTGTGGTTTTGCTAGTGAAATGCCAAAATAGATAGAATTGCCATCCTTTTACAGAGTCATAGTAAAAAAAAATAATATATTTTTACCTTAAGCTAGCAGTTTAATGTTATCTTCATTCACTGCTTGAGTTTACAGGACTTGTATTCTGTGTGGGAATAAAAATATTTGTTTCTACTGACTTTGATACGATACAGTTAGACAGATTAGTATAAATCACATTCAAACAAGATAATTGCCATAACTCGTGTTCCAAGTGGCTCAGCGGTAAGTCTGCGGACTTATAACGATAAAAGAATTGGGTTTCGATATCCGTGGTGGACACAGCACAAATAGCCCATTGTATAGTTTTGTGATCAACTATGAACAAACAACAAGTCTATAATTTAGAGCACCGGAAACGGCTGTGTAAAGATGATGATTAACAACTTCGAAGGTTCTTGTTTGATAAATGGTACATTTTAAACAGGTTTATAGAATTTCAAAAGCGGTTTCTTGTTAGATAAATGGTACGTTTTAAACAGATTTATAGAATTTTAAAAGCGGGTTCTTGTTAGATAAATGGTACATTTTAAACAGATTTGTAGAATTTTAAACACTGTTTTGTGTTGCTTACTGCTAAAAGACCAAGAGTTATAAATTAAGCCATAAAGTTTGACTGCATGTTACATTATCATTTTTAATTATTAACAAATAACACTGTCCAAAGAAGAATATTGCGCGCATATAAAAGGCATATCTTAAGGGTGGAGTCTGAACTGTTCTGTTCACTTCCT